GTTGTAAATGTGTTTCACATCACTGAATGGCAAGTATTTAAATTTACAAAGTAGCCAGTGTAGGAGAAAGAACAAGGCAACTCACTCCCCCTCTAAAAATATAAATTGGAAGCCACTCCATTTGACTGAGGAGGATACTATAAGCTGACACAAAGAGAACTCTAAAATCCCTATGAATGACAAAAAAAAAAATATTAAACTGGGAATGCAGGCTACCTATCCTATTGAGTTAAAAGAAGGATACTTGTCACAGACAAATTGTGCCAGACTAATCTTATCAGCCTTTTTGATAGAGTTATTAACATAGTAGACCAAGCCAAACTGCCAAATCTGTATAGCAAAACTTCTAGCACTATTTGAGGGGTAGAATACACACATGTGAAAGTGTAAATTATGAATGTCTATGGCAGGGGTTCCCAACCAGAGGTGCGAGATGATATTCCAGGGGGTGTGAAAACTTGGGTTTTCAAAATTATAGTGTACATGCATAATTTGTTGCTGTTATTTCAAACGTTTGTAAGTGGTGCGAGAATATATCAGAAGCGTTCTAGGGGCGCGGGGAATAGAAAAGGTTGGGAACCACTGGTCTATGGAGATTCTCAGTCATCCAGGTCATGGTTGTCCCATAGGTGCTTTTTCAAGAGGCAACTGGACTTTCTTGTTTTTCTTTGAAGATATTTCACTTCTCGTCCAAGAAGCTTCTTCAGCTCTGCTGTATGGTGGGGAATGGAAAGATTTCTTAGATCTGCTGAAAGGACTGTGTTATGGAACTGTTCTTTCTGCAGGATGTTTTCTGCACTGTGTCCCTTCACTGAAATCCTTCCATTCCCACCATCCAGTCAGAGCTGAAGAATCGTCTTGGATGAGAAGCAAAATGTCTTCAAAGAAAACCAAGTCCAGTTGCCTCTTGAAAAAGCACCTTTAGGATGTAAATGATGAAGCACTGATGGTGGTTAGAAAAGGACAACTCTAATGTAACAAGCTTCATGGATACCAACTGAATTGTATAGTTGTCCCCTTCAAATAGGCACCTACTATATTTACCATTACACGCTGATCACCCAAGGGAATTCAGACTTGGAGTAGCCCAACACTCATGGAGAAAGAAAATTAGGGATTGATATTTACACTATTAACACGTGAGAAACAGCAGTTCACTGGGCTTGGATTTCCCAAGTACTACATTCACTTCCTAGTAGCAACTGTGTTCTGTTTTAAAGCATACTTTATTTATTTACATTTAGCCAACCATGGCAGATTTCTTGAACCTGGCTTGGTGGAGCTCAGCAGCTGCATGGTGAGTCTTTTTCTTTTCTTTTTTCTTTTCCTTTCTTCTCTTTTTTCCTTTCTTTTCTTGTAGTTAATGAGATAAACTGCAGAAGCTTAGATGTGACAAAACACGAACCATTCTAGGATAGATCTCACAATCTGTTGCAGAAATATTAGTGGAAATATTTAAAATAGTAATTGTTTTTTAAATTTTCCTAGAAATCTACAAATTCATGTTTGTATTTTTGGAGAGGTTGTGCTTTCAACTTGGAGATGTCAAAACAAAATTAATTCAAAGAACCTCTTCTGTGTTGTGACGTGAAATTATTTTCTTTTACAGACACCTAATTGTTATTTCTTTCCACAAGGTCTTTATTTCAGCAGTTCCTGTATGGATTAGCCTATAACAGCTGGTTTCAAACAGGTAACAATCCCTATTTGTATATTTCTTTCAGCCCCCAAAGGATGAAATGGCAGGAGGAGGCACTATAAATTAACCGTAGCTGGATTAATATAGGAAGTGAAAATAAAACTAAATGTTAGCTGACTATCAGTTGCTCCTTCATTACCATGTGACTGAATATGTTACTGCTACAACTGAATTGTTCGGGTCTCTAAAAAACATCCCTCATCTTTGTGCTTTTTAATCTTGAGAAGCAAATTGTGACCTAGTTATTCTGAGTGCAGCTTCAGGGGGCTTTAGGGCACAAATATAAAATCTGCACACATAAATCTTCACCAGAGAATACTCCAATAAATCTGATCGATCATGCCCAAAAAAAGGAGTGCAGCCATCAATAAATGTTGCTAAATTGACCTTCTGCAGTGGAAAAAATAGCAGGTGTAAGTCAATTTCACAAGGTGAATTAGTTGGGAAGGGGAACACAACATGCTTTAATGTAGATTAGTAGAGGATAGCAGAATGAAAAGCAATAACAAGGTTGATTCTCTAGATTTCCCCATGCTGGCTAGGGAATTCTGCGAGTTAAAGTCCACACCTCTTCAAGTTATCAAGTTTGAGAAACACTGCTCTAGACTGAGCAGAGAAATGTTACACTTCTACAATAACAAATAAATGTCTATGTAGATGAGAAAAAACAAACAGTAAGGTAAAAGTGGAAATATAGGATAAATTGTTGAATCCCCCCCCCCCATACATTCTTGCACCGTTATCAGTAGCGGTTGGCACAAGCACAGCTTTAGAAAAGGCCAAATCCATCCGGATGAACTGCTTTTTAGATGATGTGGGAAAGATTTTAAAAATGTTTATGCTTTTATTTGCGACTCACTATATGTACTATGTGTCTAAACAGAGGATGTCTCAGCAGACAACATGGAATCCAAGGAGACCAGCTGCATCATGAAGCAAACCCAATACTATTTTAGTTCTGTTAACTATACCTACAACACCATCATTGACTGTGGAAATTGCTCTAGGTTAGTAGAAAGAATCCCTGTTGTAAAGGTTCAGACATTGTAAGACTCTAGTTCAGGGGTCCTCAACCTTGGCAACTTTAAGACTTGTGGACTTCAACTCCCAGAATTCCTCAGCCAGCTTTGCTGGCTGAGGAATTCTGGGAGTTGAAGTCCACAAGTCTTAAAGTTGCCAAGGTTGAGGACCCCTGCTCTAGTTCTTCAGCTCAGTCCTTGTAAAAAACAGTGGGATTAAGGAACATAACCACTAACAGGTACCAAAATTAGTGGTGTCTGTCATATAAATTATAGGATGCTTGTAACTGATTGTTTAGTGAAAACAGCAGACAGCTTCTGATGCCATTACACAAGATGAATGACATCCCAGTAAACATCAGTATTATGCTAGACACAAAAACTCCTGGGGAATGTTATGATGATATGATTCTGTTAGAAATTCAGTGGTTTTTTTTTTTAAAGAACTGCATTTCCTAGAATGCTCTGAGAAGTGCATATAGCAATAATCCTAAAAATATAACTTTAAAACTGTTTTCATGCTTCTGTTAGCATCAATAGATGCTTTGTTTTAATACTGATGGGAGGAGGAATGTTTATTGGAATAACTACAGGAGTGGAAATAGTTAATGATCTTCTCCATCCCAACAAGATAGGTGGGATAGCGCACCACTTTGGCAGAACTGGTAGCTAATTTTTTGTTGCCCAGGCCCAGAGAACCAGTTGTTCACATATTTGAATCCCACCACTGGATGGATGGATGGATGGGTGGGTAGGTAGGTAGGTAGGTAGGTAGGTAGGTAGGTAGGTAGGTAGGTAGATAGATAGATAGATAGATAGATAGATAGATAGATAGATAGATAGATAGATAGATAGATAGATAGATAGATAGATAGATAGATAGATAGATAGATAGATAGATAGATAGATAGATAGATAGGATAGAGATGATAGATGATAGATGATAGAGTTGAATGAGACAGCTATGATGGCTTCTTCAGAAGCTGAAGCTCTTTACTAAGAAAAAATGCTACTAGCAAAGCACTTCTTTGCAGACACAACTTGTAAATTAGATAGGCTAGTATAGGATAATAGGATAGCAGTACTTCTGCTTCTCTTCTTCTCTCCCTTTTTCTCCAGGCTGTTCCATGCACAAAGGCTTGCTGGGTCTAATCTTCTGTTTGTTGTAGCAGAAAAGCCAATATGCAATCAGTGTGAATCCACAAAACTTCTCCAAGCAGAGATAAAAGGTATTGGTAATCAGTTGTATTCCAAATCAGAAACAATATAACAGATGGGTATGCCTATTATTAACTGATGTTTTTTCTGGTGTATTTTTTATAAATATTACTTGAGATACTTTTCCCATAAGTAGTTTGATGTTCATATTATCACAAGTAGTTTAAACATACAGTCATCTGAACTCAAATCCATTACAATTTTGTAGACTATGTAGATAAATGTAAAAGGAAATTTTGTAACAATTTAAGACAAGCTACATTATATCAGACCAAAGGGCATCTGGTCCAACAATTTGTACCTGCAGTAGTGGACTTCTTGGTGTTCTCTGAGTTTAGTTGTTTGCTTGCAGACATTTTATTATCCAACTAGGTAACATCAGTGCTCAAGATACATCTCTCCTCCTCTATTATACCTGCAATAGCAAAACAGGTCTATGGAAAATCCACAACAGGCCATAAACACAATCGTGTTCTCCAACTCAGAGATACATTACATCAGATAGTAGAAGTAATCCAAAGTGGTCGTGACTAATTGACAACTAACCAATGATTAATTGCTCTGGAGACCCAAGAAAGGGAAGAAGGAACCTGCAGAACCTTAGTGCCATGTAGGACTTGCATGCAGAATTTTAACATGATATTGTATAAAGTTTATAAATATAGTTTAGATCAAGTTGAAGACAAACTGCCTAGAACAGTGATGGCGAACCTTTTAGAGACCGAGTGCCCAAACTGCAATCCAAAACCCACTTATGCATCGTCGGGTGCCGGGTGGGTGTGGCCCATTGGGTGGGCGTGGCTGTGATGGTAAGGGCAGACTGGGTGGGACTAAAAAGTTCAATCAATCAATTCCAACTTTGCAAGATCTTTTTTTTCCCCACGAGAAGTTGAAATTGACTGATTGAACCTTTTTTTTTACATGGTGGTGGAGGCCTAAAGCAAAAAGGTTTTATAAAACCCAGCTGAAGACCTATGACTGGGGCAATGGCGCGGGTGCCCACAGAGAGGGCTCTGAGTGCCGCCTCTGGCACCCGTGCCATAGGTTCGCCACCACTGGCCTAGAACCAGAGAGCTGCACTGAAAGACAGGAGCTATGCTCTCCTGTATAAATGCACACACATGTAATTTCCCTCATCCATCTCCACCCAACATCAGGATTCCTGCAAGGAAAGCAATTTCCCTCCTTTCCTCTCAAGCACCTTTCAGGAGAGAAAATGAATCAAGTGACAAAAGAAAGGCAGCACCTCCAACCAGTATTGTTCAAAGGGAGGGAAGAAGGATACTTCTTGCTCCGTTCCTCTTTTCTTTCCATCCCAAAGTGCAGTGAGTTGCTGGAATGACCTACTTTCCTGTGCTATAAGACAACCCAACAATCAGCTGACCAATATATTTTATGCATTACAATTTTTTGTGTATGACAAGCTGCTAGGGCAGTGGTGGCGAACCTATGGCACGGGTGCCAGAGGTGGCACTCAGAGCCCTCTCTGTGGGCATGCGCGTCATCGTCCCAGCCCTAGGCCTTCAGCTGGGTTTTATAAAATCTTTTCAATTTAGGCCTCCGCCGCTGTGTGTAAAAAAAAAAAAAGGTTCAATCAGTCAATTTTAACTTCTTGCGGGAAAAAAAAGATCTTGCAAAGTTGGAATTGATTGATTGAACTTTTTAGTCCCACCCAGTCTGCCGTTACCACCGCAGCCACGCCCACCCAATTGGCCACACCCACCCGGCACTCGACGATGCATAAGTGGGTTTTGAGTTGCAGTTTGGGCACTCAGTCTCTAAAAGGTTCACCATCACTGTGCTAGGGAGTCAAACAAAAGGCCATCTAGTCTATTTACTCCTTGTTTACAAATATTTTTATTTCTATAGGAGCCCATTTAAATATACTGGCCATTGAGAACTTTCACAAAAATAGTCCTTTCACATTTTGTTTTTCTCCCACCACTTACCATTTACATGGATACAATTACAGACTTTAGAGAGAGGAAAACAAAAACAAGGAAGGATGTGAGGAAGGACAGAAACCACAAAAATTAGGTTGGAATACAGGAGCAGTTCACTATTTGGAGATAATTTAATCTGTTAGCATTTGTATTCTATTTTTTTTAATCTCCTAATTCACATCATTTTAATCTGTCTAATGTTGTTTATCTTCTGCTTCATTTGGCTGATACGACGCAAAGCTCCTCCAGGAGATCGCAATCAATGTGAGCTAGTAGAGAAGCCACGTTACCGGAAGGGTCCCCGCATCTGTTTTGATTACAATGCAACTGTAAGTAAAAGGAGGGATAACTAATGCTATATATATGGAATGCGACATCTGAAATGACTCTGCTCTAGGGAGGAGGATATCCTAGGACAGTGATAGCGAACCTTTTAGAGACCAAGTGCCCAAAAACTGGCCCCGCCCCTGTCCATCCCCACCCCACCCCGCCTGCTCGCAGGGCCACTCACCACCTCCAGGGCCCGCCGCAAATCGCCCAGGCAGCCCAGCAACGCCATAAATTTTACTGTTTTCAGGATAAAGAATAAAGCACACCCTCTGCCCGCACACCACACCCTCTGCCCACGCCCCGCAGCATCAACTGTGCACGATGGAACGTGAGGGCAGAGTCTTGTGTACGCTGCCTGGCTGCCATGTCCTTGGCTGCGCTGCTTTGTGTGGGCCACGCTCGGGGGTGACTCTCTCCAGGGGGCTGCTGGTGAGGAGGGGGTCGTGGGGGGAGGCGAGGCTGGGGCAACGGCACGTGTGCCCACAGAGAGGGCTCCGAGTGCCGCCTCTGGCACGCGTGCCATAGGTTCGCCACCACTGTCCTAGGAAACTTAAAAACAATAGGCAGAGACTTTCCTTCTACTATGTAGGAAAATGTTCACTTTTTTAAAATAATTTTTATTAAGAAATTTTTAACAAAGCAAAAACCATAAAAGAAAATAAAAATAATAAAGAGAAATAGTAAATAGTGAAAAAAAAGAAAAAGGGAAGGGAAGGGAAGAAAAGGGCAAAATGAAAGGGAAAGGTTATAGAGAAGCTGCTTCCAGTCTTGGCAGTCATTATAAATACATCTATATCAGTGGTTCTCAACCTTTTTAATGCCGTGACCCCAACCGGTCGTAAGTCGAGGACTAAACCGGTCGTAAGTTGAGGACTAAACCGGTCGTAAGTCGAGGACTACCCAACCGGTCGTAAGTCGAGGACTTTCCCTGCCCAGGAGGGCCGCACATGAATGGTTCCGCCCCCTGCGCCGGCCGAGGCGTAGCTGGCAAGCAGCAGAGACGGAGCAGGCCGACCACCAGCTGGCCCAGCCGGAAAAGGGGGGAAAAATGGCGGACAAAAAAAATGGTGGACAAAAAAAATAGCGGACAGCCTTGCTTGGCGACCCCCATGAAATGGTCGATCAACCCCAAATGGGGCCCCGACCCACAGGTTGAGAACCACTGATCTATATTGTGCCTCTGCCTCTAGAAAATATTCACTTTCAACTGACAGAACGAAGGTTATTGGACTGTCTAGAACCATTAATACAGCTACTCTTTTTTTTGCTGCTTGTGAATTGTTTCTTTTTCTAAAGAAAATAATAGACTAGATGAAAAAACAAATGTGCATGACAAGAGGCATAGCAGTACCTACACCCGATGCAATTTTGATGAGTTATTGTATGTATACATCATAAAAGACTATCTGAAAGAACCTTTGAAAATTAATTCTTAAATAAATGCTGCAAAAAATGAATTTTAACTTTTCTTTGAACAAGACATTTGTCTGGATGTCCTTTTAATCTCATTGTGCTTTATTCTTTATCCTGAAAACAGTAAAATTTATTCTTTTCCTGCTAATGAATCTATGAAACTTAAGTTTATTCCAGAATCCTAGATATTCAAAACTGTTCTAATAGAACAAGGAATAGAGGAGATAAGGCCTTGGATAATGCACAAATTTACTTGCATGATCATTTTCCTTAAAACGAAATTTAAAAATACATATAGCAAGATTCAGCAAGAAAACAGATATATATATATATATATGAGTTTCAGCAAAAGCAAGTATTCTTAAAGAAACCTCTCTCTCTCTCTCTCTCTCTCTCTTATTTCTCTAGGAAGACACCTCGGATTGTGGCAGAGGGGCCTCCTTCAGACCTTCCTTGAATATCTTGTTATGCTTGCAGTTACTCCTTCTCTATTTGACTGCAAGTCACCATTCGCTGCCCTTGGCATTTTGCCTTTGAAACGCCCATTTAGCTTAACCCATCCTTTTTATTTTATGCACATCATCATCCCCTCCAGACTTGCTAGAGGATGACTTCTGCCTAGTCCCATCAATTCTGGCTGCACCTTGGCATTCACTCATGAGGATTGTTGCTTTCTTTACTCAGAAGTCCAGAAGCTGTTCTTATTTTATTTTTTTTTCCTTTTCCTCCATCAATCCTTGCCTTTCCGGTGTCTCTGCACAGCAGATTGTGCTAAAGAGATCTTTGAGATGACGAGGGGAAGCATGGACCACCGTGATCTTCTCCACACAGGGAACATTCTTGAGCTTTGATTCATTGTTCCCCTTTCCACTCATTGAGCTGTTGGCCAAATACAAAGAATATGGCCCCATGATTTTATTTTTCCATTGAATCTGTGGAATTCTGGGAGACCTTTGTTAGTTTTCTTGTGAAGGACTTTTATTATGGTTTTAAAAGTATTTAATCAACAATACTGATGATACTATTTTGTCTCAAGTAATGTACCTTACCATTCCAATAATGAAAACTGCAGAAACAACACCAATCATTATAACCGAAAAAATGGATAGTCTTGCCAAATTGATTCTATAACCTAGCAAACCTTCCAGCCAATTCCAGTAGCTTTTCAGACTCAAAGTAATCTTATAAGATCACCCCAATATCATTCCACCCAATTCACTATGAGTTTTCCAAGGCCATTGTTATTTCTGCCTTTCAATAGGTGGATCCCATCTCCAATCAATGATGAATTATTTTCATCCTAAACAGTTTAATCTAGACCTTTCAACATCTGATTTCCAAACATTAAGCCTGAAAGATTAGAGCATTTATTGTGAGCAAGAAAGAAACATACACAAATGCAGAGGATATCACTTGAATTTTAAGGTCGGAATTATTCATTTAAACTGCTTATTCTGTAAAGAGGACTTGAAAACCAAGCAGGGCAGAAAGAAGAGAGTGAAGATCCTTTTGTATACCGTTCCAGTAATCCATGTAAGGTTGGAGGATGCAGCAACTGAGACAATCTTTAAAAAATGAATAGCAAGATAGAATGCAAGTAACAATTATGGTTTAAATCCAGCAGCCCCCGTTGAATATTTTCCTGCTTTCCCATTTCTTATTTGAACCAACTGAAAAAACATAATTACGTAGCTATTTTAAGAGCTGTTCCCCCAAATCACTATGAAGTCTTAGTTGGTAGCTTTGCCGTATCCAATCTTTAAGATAAGCCAATTATTGAGATGACTTAGACAAAGATGAAGTCTCTTTTCTTCAGTTTCTTTTCTTCTAAATTTTAAAGAATATTGTCCACCCTAGTGGAGGCAGCACTGTGTGCCAAACCAACCTATGAAGATGATAGCCAAAGTTTTTCTTCGTAGACTTTGTACAGAAACCTAACTGTATGCTTATTGTTTGTGTACTTGAGCCTGGAGGAAGTGAAAATGTTCTGCTTCACAATGATGGCTGTTAAAATGTCTGCCACTCAGCTCAGACCCCAACAGAGCACCTCTGATGACTCTGCAAGCGTACATTTCACGTCTGGAATTATTTTAAGTGGTTGCAACTATTGAAGAATTAAAAGAAAGTATAATACTGGAATTCATCAACTGGTGTCCTAAAAAAAAATGCCTGTTTTTAGGATTTGTCTTGAGCAGATTTCCAGTCTTTCTGCCTGTTAATATATGATAATAAGTACATCTTGCTACATACTATGAACTGAAATGCCTGCAGTCCCCTGACAATTCCGGAAGATCCTTCTCGTCAGCCAAATATACCCCACTGCACTGCCTCTACACTTGAAATAGCCAGCAAAGTGAGAAGAATCCTGTTTTGTTTCATTTCATTTCGTTTTGTTCCTGCTTGATGTTATAGGAGAGCCAGAACCTTCTGGGCAATATGGGGAACTGCAGACCAGTATGATGCAACTTCATCAAGGAAAAATTGTTGGTTGCAACGCCAAGAACTGCATGAGTTTTTTCCCTCTGGCACAAGGGTGATTGCTGTTACAAAAGCCTGCTAAAATATTGTACACAGTGATGCGTTCATTTCAACTTAATATTCTTTAATCCAGACTTCTTTTAATCCAAACACGCCGCCTGTTATGAATTATTCAACTGTTATGAATTTCATTTGCTTTGTTACAAGAAAATCTGGAAAGCAAACTGTAGGTCATAATTACTTCAACCTGAAGTTTTCCAAAGAGGAAGACAATCCAGTTTGATTAACAACTTCAGATTCTGTTTGAATCAAACTTTCTGTGGTCTTAGTATTGTGGTTTAGTAGTAAACCAGGATTTTGGAGAAAAGCCTTCTGATCTCACAACTTACATGTTAATTCAGCCTCTGCCATTTATAATGACCCCACCAGTTGTTTAATTGAAAAAAATAGTGCAGCTTGGAAGGTGTACAATTGTTGAATGCAACCCATTCCTCAGCCAATACTACAGGCATATCAGACAAAATTATTTACTGATGTTCTTAGAAGTAAGATTTCTGTGGTCCTCATAATATAATCTAAAGAGTCAAAAGCATAATACCTCTGTAATAATTATGGCTGCAAAGTGCAAATATGTGGTGCTTGGAACTATTGTAGGAAAAAAATACTTGACAAATCTGGAAGTAGAACCAATGATGCACTTGCTTGCTTTTCAGTAAACTTTGCTCTTGAGACTAGGAAATTCTTAATCTCTCAAAAGCTAACTTCATTCAAATTCCTTTGTGTACATATAACCCTCCCCCAAGTGAATCCTTGTTTTCAAGTAAGCAACTAAAAAGACTTCTCCTTCCAAGTCTGCATTTTTTCCAGACTGCTTATACACACAACAATTGCACTGGTGCTAAGGATAGTAGTTCTGCTTAATTGGCTTTGTATAGATTTCTACAGAAGTAAACTGGGAGATTATAAATACATAGCTCTAACTAACTCTGATGTATGGTAAAGATAGTGCCATTATTCCTTGTGTATACTACCAGTGATAATCAATTGTGCTGGTTGTGAATACACTCTCAGAATCTCCCTGGTCTCTTCTGAGCAGAAACTACAAAATTGTGCCAAATTGTGTGATTGTTTTGTGATGTGGGCAACTGTCTGTAGTGTGCTTGCTGAAAACCCCCAGATTCATTTTAAGTTAGTCTGAGTAAAACCTCTTGTCTTCCTTATGTCACTTTGTCTGTGACTGTTTGGCTAGTGCTCTGGAGCCAGTATATATTCATCAACAACAGATATTCAAAGTGGGAAAAATTTGGAGCACAGAAAGTATATATGGAAACGATATTGGACCTGAAGTGCTTCTCATTCATACGAGAAGCTGATTGGATAACATGGCCTTTCCCTGCTTTTGAATATCTTACCACTTCATCACTGTTAATGGCCATGATATACTTCTTGGTCAGCCTCTTTGTTCCTCCTAAATTATTCAAGGTCAAAGCTAAAATTTGCTGGGGTTGAACTGGTACTCTCTTCATTCTTGGCTTTTGGCCGATGCCCTCCAAGATGTTGGGGGAGGGGTTTGTTTGGTTTTAACATATCTAATGAAATTTTATAGTCATAATGGAGTACATTTTGTTGTTTACATACATATACATACAGATGTATTTATGTACGTAATAACCAAAGACAGGTTAAAAACATACCGTAAGTGGTTCTATAATGGTGCAAGTATATCTTGTAATTCCTATGGGGTTTTTTCCTTCCTTGAGGTGAGTCTGTTTCCAGATATCCTTATTTTAAGAGGACATTTATGTCACTGCTGAAAGCACTGGTTGGGTCCTCTGGCTTGTTTCTTTTTCATACTAGATTTAGAATTGCTTGCTTTAAAACATATTTTTAAAACTCCAATCATGTATATCTTTAAAATAATAATAACAATAGCTGTTGTTCTGAGTCTGAAATGCCAAGAAATCTGGAAGCAGCAGGGGAAAGATGGTTTGGTAGCATTATAGGTTCTAGCCCAGTGTTTCTCAACCTTGACAATTTTAAGGCATGGGGACTTCAACTCCCAGAATTCCACAGCCAGCAATACTGGCTGTGGAATTCTGGGAGTTGAAGTCCACATGCCTTAAAATTGTCAAGGTTGAGAAACACTGTATCTAGCCAATGACTGCTATGCCCAGGCAGCTTTTTTTACAAACGTATAGAACTGTTTTCTCCTGAGCTTGGTCCAGATTGGATAAATCACTGAATTGATACACCTCTGTTGCCATGAGAGATAATGACTCTCAATTTTCAGAACAAGTGTTTCTCTGGGAAAGCATTGCTCTTGGAGAGGAAAATATGAGCAATGCTGATAAAGAAGTCCCACATAACAGAGCTAACTTCAGAGGACCACTTATGGAACAGTATTATCCTTTCTAATAATTATAGCATTTGTTCAGCTTTAGCTGGAGTGTATTCACCTTCAGTTTTGGTAGACGTTTCATCATTTTTTTTTTAATGTCGGTGCAATTCTAGTTGAATAACTCCCTTACCATTAGTTGATTCTTAGACTCAAGTTCAGAAGGGAAAGGATATGGCAGAATGGAGAACACTGGAAGTGAAATATAAAAACAGACCCGCAGCAGAAGACATATTGAACTTAGCAAATTGTAGATATTGCCTTGATTACTACATATCAAACATGATTCAGCCTCTTCATTTATCAGTCAGGGAATCACTGAGTACCATGTCAGAGAAATGCTGCCCTGCCTCCAATTACTTCAGTTGTGATATATGCAAAAATCACTGGTTAGAAAAGAATGTCCTGTTATTTACCTATATGTTCAATGGTAATCCTTTCTCACATTTTTCACAATTAGTACAAAAAGAAAGCAACGTTTTGAGCAAACGTTTCCAGAGTTAGAGAATCAGCATTTGGAAGATGAAACTATGGCCCATTTTTCAATCCAAGTTTATTCCAATTTTTGGAGAGGGAATTGGGGTGGGCAAGATTGATGTTTGTGCATGAGCTAATCATATTGCAATATGTGCGGGTCTGGACAGAAATACTTTGCTCTTTCCCT